AAGTAATAAAGTACAAATTTTTTTAAATAATTTTGAATTTAAAAGAAAATTTAGATAAAATAAATTTGATTTAAATTCATCCAATATATATCACGTTTGATTCAAAGAAATGAATATTCTTTGAGGAAATTGATAAATAGAGATACAGATTATAAGAAGACAAAAATATTTCTATTATTATAGATTTTCAGCCCGCATCGATGTCATTTTAATAAAAACAGGCTATGGATTAAACTTGAATGATTTACGTTTTTGTTAACTCTTACAAAAGATAACGTTGTTATAAGGGTACCGGTACCTGTATAAGATTTGAATAGTTAAGAATTGTCAGAATGAAAGGAAGAATCTTATATTATTTTATTATATAATGTATTTATATTTTAATTAATGATTAAATTTAAATAAAACTAAATTTTCTTCAGATTATTCTTAATTCCCTGTGACACGAATAATAAATTTTATTCTGCCTACATTATATATATATTCGAAAAAAAAGATTCGATAGAATTATTCAAGAATGTGATAATAATATTTATTTAATTATCGATTAATATTAAAACTGATTTCCAAAATTTAGCTCGTCCAATTCCTTGTATCTTTTCAACGTCATTTCTTTGTCATGGGACCAGAAACGCATCTCGAATCCCATGGAAACACGATATTTCTATCGTTGTACTTCGATCCTGTAATTCGAAATGACAAACTAAAACAAGGTCGTCACGGTGAACAACTCGAGTGCTCATTGTCTGGCTGATTCGAGCCAAGTGTAAGAATTAATTTAATTATAGGAGAGGATTTTAAAGATTGCCTTTTACATTTTTAATCTTTCATATAAAAAGCGCTGTTATTTTTTTTTCTTTTTTCTTTTTTTTTTCTTTTTTTTTAAATCATCGAATCTGTCAAAATTTATAATGAATGAAATTTTACTTATTAATAAAACTTATAATAATAATAATAATTGTAATTATAATTTTTAATAATAAAGTTATTTTTATAAATGAAATTTTTAATGAAATGTTTAAAATTTATTGAGAATTTATTAAAGTTTATTAAGAAGTTTATTATAAATATTTGATTGAAAATTATATTAATTTGATTTGAAGAAATTGCACTTTACTCAAATATTCATAAAATTAAAATTACTACAATTAATTGATTGTTATTAATAATAATATATATTATTTTAAATTTTTCATATCAATGATATATATTTTTTTTAATTTGATTTTTATACTTGTAAAAAAATTATTCAATGAAATAGATAATTTATTATAATAAAATTATCTTCTTTGTAACAATGAATATGATTTAACTTCAATTAGCTGATTCGATTAGTTTCAAGAATTAAATTAAACATGCAAATATTATTTAGCAATATATTTAGTCATTAACTCTTTTCATTTTTGAAATTAGTTTAAATTTTACGATTTTACATATTTATGAAATGAAGTTATTTTATATACTAAAGTATTAATAATAAAAATACATGTAATAATTATATCTAATAATATATATTTTATACTTCAAGAATTTACAAACAAATATTATAAATTTATTTCAAAACTTATAAATTATTATTTATAAAGCTATAAAAGAATTCTATATTTAAAAAAAAAATTTATTTATATGAAAAAATAAAAAAAATTATACTTGAGAAAGAAATTGTACAAACTAATAAAAAATAAAATATATCATAAATCTCACGATTCTTAATAACGAAGAAGAAAAAAGAAATAAGTATAATAGATTTTATTGGAAGAAAATCTAAATTCCATATGCACGACTATGAGTCATGTAGAGAAATTTAAATTTAAATTTAAATAATAATAATAAATGAATAATAATAATAATAAATGAAATAAACTTCTAAATAAATAAATATATTTGATACAACAAATTAATACAATAATGTAAAAAAAAAAAAAAATAAAAAAAAAGAAAATTTCTTCATTTATATAATTTACCATTGTAACTGCCCAATTACCGGATCGCTCGATGCGATACTCAAGAAAAGAAAGTAAGGAAAGAAAACGTGTTTAATTCCACCAGTTAAAATAAAAAAGGCCGCAAAAAATTGACGTCTTTATCCTGTTTACACAGTTTAATCAGCAATAATTTGACGAGTGTACGAGTTGCACTCGTTACAATCGTGGACCCCGTTTTGCTCTGTTTCGCCAAAAGGACTCTGGATTCTACTTACTCGATATCTCGTTGCACACACTTCCTATACCATCTGCATTATTCATGATCGCAAACGTTGCCATTTGGACCGTTTTCAACCGCAAGAATACCATGCCATGCCTCACCCACGACGCCTCTTCTACAACTCTATTTACATATTTCCGTATCACTGGGGCGGATCGTAAGTTGCTCACGGTATCACCATTGCTCCAATTTTTTCGAAGGAAGCTAAGCTGTCTCATGATGGATCGTCATAATGAATATCGAACCATTATAACGATTATAAAATGGCAGATGCGTCATTCTTCACGTGTAATTGCGTGTTTTGACACTAGGCTGCGTCGTTAAGATTTGGTTGTTCTGGTTTATTAATCCGATCGAATTTGTCACGTTTATGTGTTTGTTATATTTGTATGTATTAGGAGTGCAAGTTTATTGCAGAGATGGAAAGATTTTGAGATAGATTAAAATGAATGGAAATAATAGAGAAAATATTTATTATTTGTATCCAAATTTAATTGGGAATAAAATATAGCATAAATTGTTATGTGTCATGTTTATGAATATGAATATATTGTACACACATGTTTGATTGGAGGAATTTAGTGGAAAGGTAACTTTATTACAGAATGGAAAAATTTTGAAATGGATTAAAATGAATAGAAATAATAGAGGAAATATTTAAAAATTTTATAATTTTAAATTTATTTGTTATTTGTATTCGGATTTGATTATAAATAAAATATTTATTTTCTGGTTTATATTAAATCTATTTATATTAGAAGAGAAGTGATTTTATTACACAGGAAAATTTTGAATGAATTGAAACGAATAGTAGGAATATACTAGGAAAGAAATATTTCTGTAAGCAAAAATTGTTTAATTTAATTCTTTATAATGCTTTGTAATTTTGAAATCACATACTTATCTATATTTTTAAAATCTTATTTGATTTTTGTCGTAAAATTTTAAATGACATCTTATTTGTATACTTTTTTTTGTAATTCATTTAAAAAAATTTGGTTTCAGTGATAATTTTTCGTATCAAAATATTTATTCGGTAAAATTTATTTCAAGACTATAATTTTTTTAGAAACATTTATTTAACTATAGCATAAACATTTTCTTGTACAAACAAAAATATAAAAAATAAATTCAGTTATAAAAAGAGATTATTTTCATTATGCACAAATATTATTTATTGTATTATTTGTATTTGGATTCAAGTGTAAATAAAATATTTATATTTTGTTTAAATGAAATGCAATATGTATAAAAAAATGATGATTCTATTTTTGCTGAAAATAAATTAAGTTTTTTATGTTATATATATATAATGGCAATAATTTTTAAAACTGTTTATTCGAAATATTATTTTCTTATAGATCGATTAAATATTCATTTCATATTATTTGCATGAGTTAAAATACTACTTCTGTATGTATTAACGATATATATTAATAAAAATTAATGAAAATAAAAAATTAATAAAAGATTAATAGAAATATTTATTAAGAAAAATATCTATTATAAATATAATCGTTAACATTTTTTTATAGAAAGATAATAAAATAATAAAATAATAAAATAATAGAAAATATTTGTAAAAATAAATTCAGTAAATAAATTTTATGTTTCATGTTAGATGGATATTAATTAATAAAAATAAATGTAATAATAATTAAAGACTCATTTAGTTACCACATATGGTATACATATGAATATATTATTAAGGATAAAAAGTAGATCTAGAAAATAGTAGTTGCTTTGATTCTTTGCCAAGAGTTGTCGGTCCTTGCTAGAAACTTCAACGATCTAAAAATCAATTACTTTTCGCGTCTAATTTTATTAATCTTATCTTCACATGAGTATTAAAATAAAAGTCAATAAAATTCCTGTCTTTCATTTTGATTTTCATTTTATTATCTTCTTATATAGAAAATATTATTTCAAAAAATTTTATATGAATTTTGTTTTTATTTTAAAACAACTATAAAATTACTTTTTTCTTTTATCTTCGATTATAATTAATGTAATATTCAAAAAACATTTTCTAAAACTTTTATGAAACTAATTTTACATTTACCAAAAAATTATATTTCATCAAATATGAAACGAAATAAAATTTTTTCCATTAAATCTTGTGTTTCCATTTTCAAATTTTCACTAGAAATCCACACTTAGCAACAAGAAAAATATGATCAATTCAAGAAAAAAATATCATCAAGTATAAAGGATTAATAATAACCAATAAAAATCATCAAAGATCAAAATCCTTTCATTATTCCATTATTTCCAGAAGGACATTTTGACCAGAAATCTCGCGGCATACTATTTAACGCGTGGAACGAATCATCGACTCGAGGAAAAAATCCATACCGGACCGTGTCAGTCCGTCTGAGCCGAAATCCCCGTGTCCGGCTCGAAAATGCTCTTCCTCTCCGTCCGCGCGGGGTAGAAACAGGCAAAGAGAGAGAAAAAAGTAATCGCGTCTAGCAGGATCAATGCTCGTGCAGTCGGCGACCAGTTCGAATTTCCAACCCCGCGCCTCTCGTATCCGAGAGAAGGTAGCGAGTCCACCCCGGCTTCCCCGCGTTGGCACACGGGGTGGCCCGGTGTGTCGTGGCCAGGTAAGGGGCAGCTGTCCACCAGGTGCCACTCTCCCCACTACCGCGATAGCCGCTGTCAGGACACGTGGTGGGGGCAGCACGGCTGCGATTGGTCGGTGGCTCGCGCGCGGCTCGGCGATACTCTGGCGCTCGGTCGACGAACAGTCAGTCGTCCCTGGCCGTTCGAGGGGCACGTAGGAGTTTTATGGTTACGTGTTGTTGATTACGTTACTCGTTTTCGTGTCACGCGGTTTATCGAATCGTTCATCCCTCGAGATTAACAACAATCAGAGAGCCTCTTCTATCTCTTCCACAAGCCGATATACGATAAACATATGTACTGAGTGTGTGTCGAGAGAAATCAGGCTTTTCTCTCGTTTCTTCCCATATTCTACTCGATCTTCCCCTTTATATTTCTACGTTTTTATACTTGATCGTACTGTTCCATTTGGACACAGTCCGCAACTATACGTCACAGTGTGCTCTATGTGCAATCAGTGAGAAATTAGCCGGTGTTCAAGTTCGGCCCCCGCGTTCACCTCGGTCCCGTCGTCTCGTTCGTCTCCATACCCTCCTGCCCCCCTCCCCCTCCCTCCCCCGGATCCTCACGGTTGCTCTCGTCACTTCGAGAGCACCACGGCTACATTTATGGGGGCGTCGTGCGCGGTCAAGGGCAGCAAGAGCCACCCCTGTCACTGCTGCAGCCACCTCGCCAGTCCCGGCGCGAGCGTGCAACAGCAGCAGCATCACCACCACCGCCATCACCACCATCATCACGAGACGCACCACGCGCACCATCAGCACCATCATCACCACCACCCCGCCGGGAAGCAACCCTCCGCCGAGCTGCAGCCGCAGAACAACAACGGGGATTGCAACATACTGGCACCGCTGCGCAGCAAGATGAAGGTGTTGAAGAAACTAAAGCGCAAGATGGGCCTAGGTGAGCCACAACCCCCCACTTTTCTCGTCCGTTGTTTTTTTCTTTTTTTTCTTCTTCTTTTTCTCATTTTTTTTCCCACCGTTCTCCACCGTTCTTTACGTTCTCAATCCGATTTAATATGCGGATACTTTTCGCGAGTGTGCGGTTGCTAGGCGCGCTGTATAGGTATGTCACCCTGTATGATTTTTTTAAATTTCGAGGAGTTTCGAATTCTTTTCGGACTATTTTTCAGGAATGTTGGATTTGCAATGTTAAAGAGATTGAATAGAGACAATCTTTTAATTTTTTTTTTTTAAACTTTAAGTATTCCTTAAGAATAGATTATAATTGTGATTGAACTTGAAATTTGTTATCTTGATATCAAATTACACCCAATTGAGTATCAATTATTTGATATATCTGTTATTGACTTGACATTTCAAAATTACAATTTTATTATTAGAGAATTATTGAGAAATTGTCAACAATTTTGAATAAACGTAATAAGATTAATTTATAATGATTTAAATGTTATGTGTTTGAATTGTGATTTACTGTTTATTTGAATTGAAATGATTAAAAATCTACACGATTTATTCTGTTATATAATTTTAAAAAGTATTTATTTACTTTAAAGTACTTTTCTCTCTATAAGATCAAATTTTTTAAAATATTTTTCTTTTTTTTTTTTCTTCTTAATATTTCTAGAATATTTTAATTTTTTATATTAAAAAGAGAGCGTAGTTGCATGACTTGTTCATACAATAAACCAATGAATCCAGTTGCAGGTCAAAAATTCGATTTTATTTCAATTTTACGATTACATAATTTTTTTAATAAAATTAATCTTAACTTAGTTTAATTCATCTGTTAGATGGCTCGGAAATAAAATCATATAGAAATAATCGATTCATTTTTTTTCTCATTTAATCAAATATAACAATATAATATATAATGAAAAATAAACTTCAATTAATTTTTTTGTGCAAAAATAACTCTCATTACTAATGATGTTTGGAATTGTGATGAAAAATAAATTACAACCAATACTTTTATATATTTATATAAAAGTTTGTTTAAGTTTCTATTTTCTTAATATTTAAGATTGTAAAGAATGAAAAAAATCTTTAATCAACATTTTCGTATAGAAATAATTCTCATTATTTTGATGTTTAGAGTTGTAATTAATATTTTATTTAATTCTTTTCTTGTGTATAAATTATTATAATGATTTTCTGGCTTCCTTAAAGATTATATTATTACATTTTTTTGAAAATTCAATGTCTTTCTTATGTAAACTTCATAAAAAATTAATTTCTGTATTTTAATATTTTTTTCTTTGAGATACAACAATTATACTTTTTTCTCTTATGTTTTTTAATAAAGAAATTTTAGTTTTCTCTTTAAAGATAGGTTCCAATAATATTGGTACAAATAGTTCTTTTATTGTGAATCTCAATTTTGCTACGATTCTTGGCTCGTTTCCGACCCTATTGTGTTCTCATCTTTTCTTACGTTTCCTAGCTTTGAAACAAATCCAAATTCCACGAGATTCCTTTCAAATTGGAGAAACTTTCCTGAAGAAACAGAAGAGAGAGAAGTTTAAAAATGTTGTATACTAGTGAATATTTTCGATTTTTTTTTTTAATTTTTTCTTTAACTAATATTTAAACTTTCAAGTTTGGAAAATCTTCTCTAAACTTGAAGAATATTCACAACAATTCATAAATTTTATTTAGTTTATAAATTTCCATTAGATCTAGATATTTATATCAATAATTCAAAAATTTCAAATTTCAATTAGGATTTAGCAATATCTTTAAAATAGTTACATATATAGAAAGATAGAAATATAAAATGAAATTAGATTTTTTATAATTGTATAAATATTTATAAATTTTATTAAATATTATAATTATGACAAAATTATAAATTTTCTTTATTTAAAACAATAATTTGATCTATTGGTTTAAATTTAAGTTATAAGCATATTGTAACACTATAAGAAATAAGAAACAATTCTAAGATTTTTATTTTAATAAAAATAGGAATATAGTTTATTCAATAAATACTTGGTATTCTAGCTTATAGAAATTATATAAATATAAATTTATAGAAAAAAATATTAAATATAAGAAATATTAATGGTGTTAATTTTGTGAGAACCGTATAAATCATCAATATAATTTACATATACAAATTTTCACACACAATAACAATTATTATTATCAATTAATGCGATATTAATCGGCCATATTATATTATGAATGTTATGAATTTTTTCGTCCTTCATCTTTATTTTATTATATTATTTTATCTATTTGATCTATATGATCTATATTATTATATTAATTTAGAACATTGATAATAAAATAACATTTGATATGATAAAATAACAAAATAACATAACATGGAAATTTTTAATTTTAAAAAAAAGAAAAAAATAATATTTTCTTAAAATTATTTCGAGTATTTTTACGAAAATGCAAATATAAATAAAATGTATTAAAAAATTACAATTGTATAATCGTAAAAAGAATATATTATTTTAAAAGAAATATATTATTAGTTTATTAATATTGAAATATACAAATAAATTCTACGTTAATGATTTTGATAAAAAAACTGTATATAGACATTATTATTAAAAATACAATGATTGTCTTGCAATCTCTAAAAAATATAAATAAATCTTGTAATAAAATTTTTGTCAAGTTTGAAAAATTGAAATTTACAATATTATTTTAAATTGATCTTCGAATCACTTGTGCAAAGGATTTTTCTCGATGCATGCCATTATGGACATTAAACTATTACTATGGAAATATTGATCAACTACGTAATATCATAACTATATTTATCGACATCATTCACTATATCACTATATCAATATTTCAATTACATCATAATTAAAATAGATGATAATAAAAAGAAGCAAATCAAATTTAAAAAATAAATATCTCTATTCCTAATAAGATATCATATTCAAATACATATATACAGATAACTATAGATCATATAGATCAATATCTGATCAAATATATAATTTACATAATTTCTTAAAAAAAGTTTGGAAAATAAAAGTCCACGGATATTATAAACATGTCTCTGTCCCTATGGAACACCTTATATATTCAAATTACTATATATATACATATATACATACATACAGATAACTATATCAATATCCGATCAACTACCTTATAATTTACATAATTTTTTATTAAAAAAATCAACGAGAATTGAACACTTTGTACAGATTATCATATGTACATATAGATAATAATGTCAATATCATCATATCAACTACGTAATTTACATAATTACTTAAAAAACTCACTTAAAAAAAAAAAATCAAGTTTGGAAAATAAAAGTTCAACGAGGATTGAATGTATCTCTCATTCTAATAGAGGACTTGTATATTCAAATTATCCACATCTCCTATGACACATCTCATAAACTTCTCCAAGAGAAAATCCCCTGTTTTGAAGCTCAGTTGAAAGACAGCTGGCTAGATGTTCACTCGTTACACCGAGTGAAAATACCTCGCTCGTACTTACATCACCCCGGCCTGTAAGCAACGTTGACATAACTCGCGCACCGTGGTCGCCTCGTGAAATTAAGCTGGTGGTAATTTCCTTATGGAACCGGTCCTGGCTCGTTCGCCTGGACAAGGGGTGGCCAGCCGCTTTTGTCGCATGAAACAGAAGCACTCCGGTGTTGTAACAGTACCTATGCCGCGGCTCTCACGCATCTAAAGTGGCATACAATCGGTGGAAATACCGTATTCCAATGGTCGAGGAAATTTTAGTGGATAATCAGTATCGACAATTTTGATTTCGATGCAATTTTGTTTGCTATGTTGTTTGATTGAGTGGTAGATGCGACAAATTTGTCTTATTGATTGAATATGTTCAAGATTTTTATTTCTAAGAATATGATTCTATTGTAAATATATAGAATGATATTGAAGTATTGTTAAATGGTATTGGATGTCTTATTTACTTAGTAAAAGTGACTTTTTTTTTATAAGGGTCTGTTGATAAGATTACTTAGTGTTTGGTTAAAGTAATATATATATTTTAATATTGATAACTGTAGTGTTTATTATATTTTAATATTCTATTATAATTATATAATTTTAATATTATGCTATGCAACTGCAAGATGAGATATTAACTTCTTAAGTCTAATTTTCTAATTTTATTTTACATCTGGAGAACATCTGTCAATTTTAAATACAATATGGTTTATATTATTTTCATAATCGTTGATTAAAATATTTACATATGGAGATAGAATACTAGATCTGCACTTGTTAATTAACTATCTTTATCAATCAATCAATTAATTTTCTTTATTATTTTGATATACTACTCTATATATATTTGAGATGCACGAAGATTTAATTTCATATTGTCAGATATAATTCAAAATTATATTTTCATTTAACATTATTTTATGTAAAGTAAATATATATTTCAACAAATTTTTTTCGATTTTATATCTATATTTTTTTCTATATTTAGAAATATAGATTCTATATTTAGAAATCTAATATTGAGATCATTGAGTATTTTTAATTGTCGTTTAACGGATATGATTTCATGTATGTATATTCAATATGTTTCTCTAGATGATTCAATGCACACTTGAGTATTTTCTCAATTCATGAAATTGAAATCACAACACCTGATTTTTTCCTTAGTAATAACTAGACTGTAAATATTTGTATAAATTCATATTTTTATAAATTGATGTAATGCAATCTAAACAAAAATTCGTTTCACCTGTTAAGCATTGTAACAGACATATTTCATCTTAATTATTATATTATTACATTGCCAGTGTTTATACATTTATGTAAAAATGTAATAAAATTCGCAAAAGAAAAATATCCAAAATACAATACACAGTACAATATTTGAAGAATAAAGCAAATTTATTTAAAATTTATTTTTATAAAAATTTAATTTCACATTGGCAGCTATATTATTATGTACATTTTTTTAAATTTGTACTCTATTAAATTTTTCATATTGAATTTATAAAAATTTGCAGTCTAATAATCTTTTCATGCAGTGACCCAATTTGGAGCGCATAATAACGACTTCGTTAGTTGTCGGAACTTCTTCAAAGAAAGAAACACATGATAATCTCGAGATAAAATATAACTTTCCGCTTGGCATAAATTACAATCCTTGGTGTAAGCTTAATATTCTCGTTATACTTTACTAACGTTTTGCATCACTTTTTACGACGTTTGATCTTCTTGCGTATATGAGACCTTTGCTTCCAGTTTCTTGTGTTTTATAGAAGAAAAAAAGAGGAAAGAAGTTGCGAACAAGAAATTATTGTAATTTAATTATTTTCCTCCAATCTTATCTTTGTTCTAATAAAAACTTTTATTATTCTGATGAAAACTTTACCGCAAAATTATTCAATCTATTCATAAAAAAAATAAAAAATTGTAGGTATATTAACAAGAATTCCTTCATAGGTTTTCCAATTTTAAGAAATTTTTTATTGATATAATTTAATCGTGAAAATCTTTTAGCTTTAATAATTTTGTATTAATAAAATTCAAAATTTGAATAGCTCTATTAATTTACGAAAGTAAAATTTATCTTTTTTTATTGAATCAAAAAAATTTTTATATTTTCTCAATCTTTAATTCATTATCCAAATGTATATTGTATTAAAATTAATTTCTAAATCTCTCTTTTTATAGAAAAAAAAAATATTTTAATTTGAAAATTTAAAAATTCTTTTAGAGTCCGACCGAATAATGAACAAGAAAATTTTTCGAGTAACGAAATTGATTCCTCTGATTGGAAACTATCGATATATTTATATTTTACATATATAATAAGTAAATAAAAAATGTAGAATTGATTTTATTTTGTTTAAAAATTTTCGAAAAATTTATTATCGATTATATAATTTCTTTATTGTATATGTTCGATCTTAATTATCTCGAAAACAATAAAATTTCTATTCTACTCATTTTTACATATAAAATAATTCATTATCAATAATTTATTCATATTTGATCTAAAAATTAAAAAAATTAACTAATTTTTACTTAAAAAATTTATTCTATTTTTTTCACTTTATTTTTTTTCATAAAGAACCCTATATGCAAAAATAATTTATCGAATGAAAATTTATTATGCTCAATTTGCTCTAATTTCTCGAGATCAATAATTTTACTCGGCCCTTAACGATGATGCCTGGAAGATGCCTTAGAAGGAACTCAAGGAACTTTTCTACAGGATCGTTAGTGAACTCGCTGCTTCCTTTATTTTTGATCGCTGTTTTCCCACGTAGCGTCGAAGTGAAAGGTTTCTCTGAGATAAAATAAAAAGGCCGTGGTGACGCAGATAACTAGCTGCGAACTACGCGTTTACTTTTGTTAGCTTAATCCTGTCACGATCCTTTTGGGCCGCTCTATACCCAAAACACGCATTTCCTCTATCAGATTGAACAATCTTTCGAGTTTCGAGAGGAAATTGTGAAAAAGCCATGAACTGTTATTATTTATTATTCATAGTCTGTTGGTGTACTCTATATAAGATCCTTTTGTAGGAGATAAATGAATGTTTGAGATATACAAAGACGTCGATTGAATCTTGTTTATTAAGTGAACAGAAATTTAAGTTTGCATTAAACGAAACGAAATGGAAGCATTTATTTATTCAATTGCTTATAATTAATGCTATGTTAATTAAATGATATTTATAATTCAATAAATAAATCTTGAGATTTATTTCTATGTTTGTTTTGGCCTTCTACGTCCTGAAGGTGTTTTGAATGCATACATCCTATGTAAATATTATACTTGTTATATATACCATATAATCAAACGAACTATGCACTTTATGTTCGTCTATGTAATTTGAGATAATCTTGTATATTTTATATCTTATTATATTATATAAAAATAGTAAGAATTTTTACATGTATATATGTATACTGAAAACATTTTAATTTTATAAAGAAATGAAATTTTTGAATGATATATTATTAATAAAATTATTATATGTGTATATACTATTATTATATGCAATGATACTATTATAATATTATACATATTTAATTATAATTATATAAATTAAATATTACATATTTAATTTTCAACTTTTAATGTTATATCTTATTAAAAAATATATATTATTGTTCTTCTAAGAATATAAGAATTAATCTATTAAGAATATAAAATTAGAAGTAAAAGTTCAATGATACTTTATTCAATTCGCTATTTTATCTTATATTTATGCACATGTGTATCATATATTTTAATTTTAAATATAAAAAATAAAAATAATAAAAAAAAGAAGAAGAAGAAAAAGAAATTTTATCAAAAAATTATTTATTGCTACTTATTTGTATTTTGTTAATTAAATATCTCTATAAATATCTCTAATACCGTTAGAAAACATAAATATACTCTTACTTTATCCATTACTATTAATCTAATTAAATACGCATTTAATTTACACGATAACATAATTATTTATCTATTTTTTAGACGCGTAGAAACGAAAAATCCAACAATTGCGTCAATAGCATTAATCACGATTACGCTCAACACATGCGTCACCAGTTTGTCTCCAAGCTACTACAACTACCGTCCAAGCTCGATATCCTAGTTGCAATTGTGCCTCGTGTCCTTTCTAACAATAAACATGGAAAATTGAACTCGGTCACAGATAGCTTTAAACCGAGTGTTGGATGTACATTTTCTATTCCCATTCCTCCATTTTCTCTTCCCTAATTTCGAGTTCAGCTCAGGGACACGTCGCCATCTCTCGCATTCATTATCGAAAGAGGGAGAAACAGAGGGATGCCGTGGAGGATGGTTGAATAGAAGTGAATCGAGTATTCTTAGTAAGTTGCACGATCCACTTTCGCATCTCGAGGACGTTAAAGATTGTCGGCTATTCCCGGAAAATCCGATAACCTATATGCTAGCTAACTGGAAATGCTTTGCTAATGAGACGAAGGATGAATGTTTTATAAATATGCTTCTCTTTGGTGCTTTTTATCAATTTTTTCCCGAGAGGATGAATCGATGGATGTTAGATTTTCGAAAAGTAACGATTTTCTTTTTCGTATAAATATCGTTTCTCTTATATTTTGTTAGATTTCATATTATATGTATTTTGCATATTTTATGATAATTGTTTTATTTATATGATAATTGAATATTTTAAATAAAACTTCTATGTAATATCGAAGGAATTGATAAAATTCTGAATAGTTTGTGCAAAAGATGTATTACGTAACATTTTTTTTTTAATATATATAATAATAATATAATAATATAAAAATAAAATTATTAATATTTTGTAAATATTATATTTGATATATGAACTTGTTTTAGTTGCATAAAAATTCACAAATTACTTACAATTTATTAGAAAATTTATCAAAAATTATCACATTATCATTAATATAAAATTATAATCATTAATATAATACCAATTTCATAATAATCATTATTATTATTAATATAATTTTTTCAATTTTTCAAATATAAAACAAAATATGTTCTGTTATTAAATTAATAATAATTTAAATTAATAATAATAATAATAATAATAATAACATATATATATATACATATATATAATATATACACTACTTTAAAAATTTTTTCAAATATTCTTTTGAAAGTTCGCGACAAATATCCATAAGAATTCTTTGCCATCGATATTCTTTTAATAACTATGTAAGAAAAATGCGCTATAAAAAAATATATTTATCATTTACATATTATACATCTACGATGCAATTTGAAAGAATCACGTATATTATATATAATACTTTAATATGATACACATATATGTTTACATCCTCCCATCAAAGATTTCAAAAAATTTCTTCTTTGAACTTCCTTTCAGAATTTCTTTCGATCGAACATCTGCAAGAATATACAATTTAATGCCGTCGAAAGCTTCTTTCTCTCCTCCTCCCCCCCCCCCCTCTCTCCTTCCCCTAGGGGACACTCCACTTGTACAAGTTGCTCAGCAACCCCAATATTAATATTCCATTACGATGGTTCTTCTTCCGTTGGATCAGAAAGCAGAGCCGCCTATTGCACAATGGAAAGTAGGTCGTGGAAAGAGAAGTCCTCCGGCTGAAGTCGTCATTTCCTCCGTTATTTTCGCGCACGGAACAGGCCGTTCATCCCCTCGTTTCCGCCGTTTTCCACCGAACAACGGGCCAGATATCGCGCTTATCCGCCACCAGGGGGATGAATTTGTATCGTCGCGGTTGTTGTTGACCGACTTTTTCCTCAATGGGTGATTTGCCGGCCCGATGAGAAGCGAAACCAAAGGGATTCGGGGATGGAAACCCTCGTTTCAACCTCGTTCCAACGTTTAATTCGAAAAGATATCGACTGACGATGTTTGTTTCGAGTGATATTCGAGTATATTTTTTTTTATCTTGAAAAAGATTTATTAATGATAAATTTTCATAGAAATTAAAATAGTAATATTTTAATTGGTTATTATTGAAATGAGAGAAATGTTTTTTGAAAAAAATTTTTCTTTTTAGAAAGAAAGAAATTTATGCTTGATTACCGATTTTTATTGTGATTGTTTGTGTAATATTTAATTATGCAAAATTATACAATATAAGTTTTCAAACTTATATATATTTTTGGAAACTTTTTAAAAATTTTTTAATTTTTTAATTTTTTTTTTCTTATTTAAAGTTCATATAATATAAAAAAAGAACGTATGTAATAATTCAAAACAATTGCGTCGGATTTTCAAAAATTTTAACACATATCTTATAAATATATTTCTCCAAAGAATATATTTTTTCCAACTATTTCAATCACAGAGATTTTTGAATGGACAAATTCTTAAATTTCACATCCAAATTTTATCTTTTCCAATTATCTCAATTGCAAACTCTTGTGAAATTAAATAACCTTTTTAATGTATCAAATAAAAATTCTCAATCTAATCTTCAAAATTCTTTCAATTAGAATTAACTTCGAACATGATATAATATAAATTCATCCATTTCAAATCTCCAAAATCTCTCAAATTTACACAATATAGAACGTTTAAAACTATTTCAAAAAGATTATATTGTTGAATAATGAAAGAAATTCAATAATTAAAAGTTTTTACTTATAATAACATATATAAAAAATATTTCATCAAAATAATCATCTCTTGTGAATCAATTAATAAATAATGAATCAATTCGTTACTTGATTATTATAATTGATTTTCGGATAATACTAATACTTACTTATTACTTATTTTTACCTATTTCAATTTTTTCAAATTTTAATTTTCCCATCATTATTATTCAAAATTACCTATCATTTTTATTCAAAACGAAGATCGAACCTCAAATCTTTCAAAATTTAAAGATCCACCGTATCACAATTAGAAACCGTCCCATTCTCATATATATTCTCCATATTTCCCCTTCCAAGCCTCACGATTAAACACCCCTTCTTCCCAACAAACATCTCAGTATCAAACAAAAATCCTCAAAGGCCATCTCTGGACCAAAAGGAAACATCATCCCAACCTTACTTCCTCCTCGTCAACCGCCTCGTCGACAACCACCAGATCTCCCTCCTCTGCCCTGTCCTGTGTTCGTATCGTCTCGTTTGTTCCTCGTTGACCGACTTTTCCCTCAATGGATGATTTGCCGTGCGAGGATGACAGAGAGATAGAGGCATCCCTCGAGAAAAACAAAGAGGAAGAGAGAGAGGGCCACGTTCATTCCCTTTTTTTCACTCGTCACCCTTCAACGGTTTCCCGTGCGCCCCGTTCTCATCAGATATCCGTTGTTCCACGCGACGAGCCTTTTTCTAAGAACGCTCTCTCCTCCATTGTCGGCGACATAAGCTTTCGCCAAGCTTACGCCAAGTGGAAGCTCCTTCATATCCGCACTCCCCCTCCCTCCAAGCTCCCTCTCGGCCAACTTTTGTCTTCTAACCAACCCAGACACGCGCACTTCTCCCTCCCCCCAGAGCGCTGCCACCGAATCTCTCACGAATTTCAGATGCAACAATGCGCGATGGCGGACAAAAGCTTCGTCGTGTCGAGTCTGGGTCGCGGCCGATTATTCGAAAAATCTCTCCTCTCCTCCCCTCTCCCCTCCCCTCTTCTCTTCCTCGACTCGAATCACATTTTTCTTTTTGGTTTTTTTTTTATTTTTTTTTAATTTTGTGTAATTTTCGTTTTTCAAGTTTTCTGGGTCGGTAAAGAAGGGATCGTGAAAGGGATGTTGGAGGATGTTTGGGTAATTGGGGTAGGATTCGTTTTTGGATCGTTGCGTTGTTAGTGAGAATTGTCCGGAGGGCGGTTTATGAGATTGCTTGAGAATCTGGAGAACTTGAGGTTTGTAATAAACGTACGTAGAGGTTGTAGAGAATTTTTGATTTTGGAAATTTTTGGGTTTTCAATATGAATTGATTTAATAAAAAGTAGAAAATATTTGGAACGATTTTATTAATTTTAATCTTGTGATTTTAATATTGTGCTCCTGTTTTTTTTCTTTTTCGATTTGAAAATTTTATTTAGTGAAAGATATTTCTAATTGCAGAGGATTTTTAATTTTCAAATTTTGATTTTCAATATGAATTAATTTACTAGAATGCAGTAAGAAGTAGATGAGGTAGTTTTATTGAAACTTTTTCTTAATAAAAATTATTTAGCAAAAGATGTTTGTCCTGAAAGATTTATGATTCTTAAGTTTTGGTTTAAATATGAATTAGTTTAATAAGAAAATAAGAATTGTATGAAAAGATCTAATTACAAAGAACATATTTCCATTAAAAATATAACTAGCAACGATAATTAAAACTAGGTGTAGAATGAAATTAACATATCTTTCTTCACATCTAAAGTAATGTTTGTTTGAGAAATAAAAATGAAATATGTAACAATAAAACTTTATTGCATTACTGAATGAAACATAATGAAAGAAATACTATGTTATTTGAAGAACTGAAATGTAAAACTGTGATTTATTATCCAAGAATAGAAAAGTATCACGAAATTGCGTTGTAGGTTACACAATGAAACCTTTCTTATTCTTCACCATTCTATTTACATTCCATTCTAATCAATTGATTAAGATCAAGAAGCTCAATGATTCTTCATCTCCTAAATTAAGGTTTCTCAATTTCTACTAAATAAAAAAACAATCTAACTCATACTAAATTCTTCAAGCGTTATAAAATAAAATAGAATAGACTTTTATTTATTATTATTAAATAATTTAGAAAATGTATATTTATTTGCAAATTACAATTGATTCGATAGTTAGTAGATTGTTAATAAAAGAAACGAAAAAATATATAAATTACAAATTTTTTTTAAATAATTAAAATTTTCTATTATTTAATATTTTATTATCTAGTAAATTATATATATTTTATAGATACTATATTTTTTTCTAAGAAAAAATTTTACAATCATTGGATTTGGATAAAATTTACAAATTTCGTTTTATCGTTGAAGAAAATGGAATTCAGGGTGAAAAATCTTAAAATTTAACGATCCTTCTGTTTACGATCGGATCAAAGTTTTCGTTCCAGTTTTCGTTTCATATATTCTTTTTTTTTTTCTTTTTCCTTGCTTACTTCTCTCGCCCTCATTTGTCGAATTTTCCTTAATGGAAGAAAGGTTGAACAGACCAACGCGACACTTTGTGGGAGGTCTTTGAACTATGTTCTCTTAAACATTTTCCATCGAACGAATGGTACACGTGCACTTCATAAAACATTACTCTTGTTTTTTC